GTTAATGTTTTTAATTAATTATTGTTATATTTTATCACACATTATAAATGATATTTATGTTAAAAACTGACACAAAGTTAAACAAATATTTTATAAATTAATTAAACGTTGATAAATATCTAAGTCGTTAATGAATGGGAACTAATGAACACATTTATGAGAATTTCATCAATATTTAGAAAATCATTATTTGTATGGACAGAGAGTTGGTATACATTTCCAGGAATGGGTTAACTGTTCATTCATTTCTTTGTACACCATTTAAATCGTTTACGGAAAAGACTATTTTTAGCCACAGTTTCATAATAAAACTTTTTGTTTTATAAGATTGAGCAAGCACGATCCACATCTCACTTCCCACCATCATTAGATAAATATTTTGCTGCTTTTAAAACCTCATCCTATATACAGTACATCCTATACAATAAATATAATAAAATAGTTAATAAATTACTATTTACACAATTGTGACCATATTGAGTGATACTTTAAAGTTAATGGTGTATTTGTAAATTTGGATTCAACAATAGATATACAGTAGAAGTGATCAACGAATTGACACATTCAAGATGTGAACACAATTCCTTCAATTTATGTTCAATTCCTTATTCGTATTGTCATTGACTGTGAATCTAATGATTCGTCAGTTTTTCAGTTATGAGGACCTCATTATCGCACTGTTATATACATGTAATTATAAGATATGTTAACCACATATTGTATATAAATGCCATTTCTATACAAATAATCACTTCTTTCATACTATAAAAGATTATTCAATAAAATGTATTTAAATTAGTTCTCAGTTTGAAATAAGTGGCAAAAAACTTTCATATAGTTAAATACTGATTGTTAAGAATAGTGGTGAAACATCCAAACATTATCATTACTACAACTACAGGGAGTTTGCCATTAGTTCACATTTACAACACATGTTATCCAACGCTGTGTTTGGGGAACGTTAGGGCAAAACACTGGGAGTTTACGCATCCATACATACATTGCAAGTCTATTGTGTGTTTGCATTGGTTTCGCAGCCGTCGTACTATTCGTACTATCGTTTGATTCACGCTTTCATCTGCTTTTGGGCCAACACTGAAGACACGATTTGAGACAAACACTGAACCACTGATCAGCTCTACTCTGGAAGACAATGTCGATAGGAATCCCGATCAAAGTGCTGCACGAGGCGGAGGGCCATATCATCACCTGCGAGACCAACACCGGCGATGTCTATCGCGGCAAACTGTTGGAGGCCGAGGACAACATGAACTGTCAAATGGCGAACATTACGGTCACCACAAGAGATGGTCGCGTCTCGCAGTTGGAGAACGTGTTCATCAGGGGATCCAAAATACGATTTCTGATACTACCAGATATGCTGAAGAATGCGCCCATGTTTAAGAAGGTGGGGGTTAAAGGGGGACAACAACAGGCCGGTCGCGGCAAGTCTGCCATACTTAGGGCACAGGGTTTGTAGACAATAACTAATACTTATAACATTGCAATCACTCACACCATTGTTTGTCTCCCCATTAGTGGCCAGAGGTCGCGGTCGAGCCCGAGCTATGATCACCAGAAGGGGCCGCTAAATGATAGACCAAAAACCATTCCCTTCTGTCTCTCATCACCACATCTGATGATAACTACTATATATTTGAAGTCATTTCCAGCCGACGACTGAATTACAAACAAAACACGCGTTTTTTGTATTCATATATCAAATCATTATTTAATGTCTTAAATATAACATATAATACACGACACAATCGATGTATCGACAGATTTAATGCTTCTTTTTTTATAGTAAAACTTATCACAAAATTTAAATATTTTTTCCCTAAAAATTCCAGTATTTAAACAATAAATTGATTGAAAATAAATGGTAATCAATATATAATATATTTATTTGGAAAAGTATTGAACTAATTCTTAATCTGTTGCTGAATGTGTTGTAAAAACTCGTAATAACTAAACGCCGATTCATTCCTGTCGTCGTACATGTACTGTAAAAATGCGTACCGAAGCCGACTGTCCTCTCTGTTCAACAAACCAATCAAAAGGTAATCAATTAATGAATTATACAATCATTTAAGTTTAACAGTGAATTTGCTTTCAGACCTAAGAATATGAAAGTTTGGCTGAAATGGTCGCTCTTTAATGATATCATCGATAAAAGCATGGATTCGTTTGGATGTCATGTTTTCCAATTGCGATAATCGAATGATAGGCCGTTCTTCGGGTTCGGGCGACCGCTGCCTTATCTGTGGATTATTTGGCGTCTGATTATTAGTGGTGGAGTCGCCGTCATCTGGTATTAGCGCCCATTGCGTCACATTAAACACTTCGGCCAACCATTGCGGGTGAACTGATTTACAGATATACACAAACAGATTGTCGTAAGTGTCCAACAGATAGACTCCATTGCGTTCAATATTGGCGAACGTGAGCTGAACGGGAGTCGGCCTTTCATTCTCATTGATGTTGTGAATGGCGTAAAGATTAGGATAAATATATGTCATTAACTGTTTGAGTGGAAGGCATTTGATCCGTTCCATTGCGTACACTCTTTCATCTATTTTGGTTGATATTCCGACTCTAAATGCAGTCTATGTTTGGAAAGCAAAATTCAATTTAAATATTGGACTAAATCTTTACGTTAAGATCATTCTCACGTGTTTTATAAGGGCTAAGACATAGAGAGGCAACAGCCGAGTAGAGGCAGCGGTGACGAGTGCACCACCGGCTGCCCCACTGCTCACCGCTCGGTATGTATTCAAAATATCGACGACTGCATTGATTAGCGCTTCTCTGGCGTCAGACATCGAACCCGTAAGACTTCTGTCGACAGCCATCTTCGACAAGAGACCAATGATCGCCTCCTGATCTGCAGAATGAATCACATCTCCTATTGTGGTCACCACTGGAAGGGACAGAGTATGCACTCGAATACGTCTTTCACCGTTGGCTGATGTGTACAGAATTGCCGCTTGAAAGCAGACATTCGTATAGTCTTTAAGGTCTTCATCTATGCTTATCTGTAGTCCATAACCAGAGTCGGGATTCACGTTCGGAAGCGCTAACAAATCAGTTGAACTAAAAGGCAATACATTTGTTGACATCAATACAAAGTTTATATAAATTAAAATTGATTTAAAATACCGGACAAAAAAGTTTCCGTGAAATGTATGAATAGATATGCCTCGAGTGCAACGCATTCTCATAACGGCTTCAAAACCGATATTTCTTTCCAAATAGTGTCTGATGTCGGCCTCGAATCGGGCCAATAGACAAGAGGGAGGACTTCCGCCGTAGTAGTGAACGGAACCGCCACTGAATTTAGAAACGGACCCAACGGTTGCCAAATCAGAGTAAGAGGACGACAAGTCAAACAAATCGACTGCAATCTGATGTTCAGAGCACTCTAACGACAATTTCTTGAAGAAATCGGTTCCGGGATTCAGGAGTGGTGTCAATGCATTCAAATTATTTGAGTTTATAGTTCTCTTGTTCGGGTCCTCTCTATTGGCCAGAACTGAACCGTCGCTCGTGTTTCCTATGTTAGGAAGTGTTGCCTGTATTAGCGTTATTCGTCCGCCGAGTGATGACAACACTTTGTAGGCCACGGTTAAGGCGGCGCCCAAAGCGGATCCCGTGTCGTAGACCACATCATTCGGATCATCCAATGGAAAAGTGGGCAAAATATCTGTTAGAAACTCTTCGATTTGAGCTCTTTTTGATTGCAAATTAACTAAAATATTGTCACAATTCGGAAGAAACACATCTGAGAAGAAAGACAGAGAAAATGCATTTGATTAGACAATTGCCTTAACAACCACTTGATTGCAAGTATTTAGCAAATACCTTGAATGTCAGGCATCACTAAATGAATGGGCTGTTTATCTCCCAAATTAAAAAAGTGTAGCTTTGAATCAAACGCAATGAAACCAATCAGAGTTCGCGAATCGCCCGGAATCTTATCAATTGATTGCATCAAAGCCTTGGCCAGGGATGGGATGTAACCGATTTGAGTCGCGTGTCGGGAACAGTCAAACACAAACAGATATGCGGCCGGTTGTGGAGGGCGTACCATATATTCAACGCTAGCTATGTATTCAATTGAGCCATAATTTAATTCCGGTCGAGACGTGCAGTCAATCGTTTGTCTCGTATTGTAATCATAAAGAAATTCTTCCGGAACTGAAAATAACAATTTATACAATGATAACAATTGATACATGAAATGGCATTTTACGGCAACACATACTTTCGTTAATTCTAAGGCAAAGGTTGCACTGCCATCGGCGCTGATCTAATAGACGGACATAAGGGTTGATATACGTTCGGCACGATCTGCACCGCACTATAGGGCTGTCCTGAATGACCGGAATGTCCTGTAAATCAATTAAGCTTTATATTAAAAACTGGAGAGAAATGGAAACAAAGTGATTGTGCGCTCACGTCATCCGATTTGAAGGGATGGATGAGAATCCCAAACGGGAGGCGAGCCTTCTGTAGAAGAGATGCCGAATCGGGGACTTTGGTCAGAGTTGACCGCATTATCTCTTTATTACAATTGGTGTCGAAATCGTTTTGAGAATTGGCTGCTCTTTGCTGTTCATTCAACACAGCTTTGGTTCGGATATCCTTTTCAGTCATCAAATTAACGCTCTCCTGATTCCACATTTGACCCCACGTTTGGTTTACAGACGTTTGGTTTACAGACATTGCGCTCATTTTCGTAGTCAATGGATCCACACTTTGAGTCTGACTATAGTTGAGTCCGTTATACGTGGGCTGAGAGGTGACCGCATGGCCCGCAGGAACTGTATGTCCCATATTTGACATATTATTTGAATATGAGTTTATGGGTGGCGGAGGTATGGCTTGATTTTGGCCGTAATTATTATAGTGGTTAACGGGTTGTGTTGACTGCGGACCGGGCGGTGGACTTTGAAAGTGCGTTTGAGGCGCCAGTGGTACTGGTTTTGGTGGTACTATTGCTTGTTGTTGTAGTTGTATTGGCGGTCGTGTTTGCAATACCGGTGCAGAGGATTGCGGATTCATCGGTGGCGGCGGTAGGGGTTGTTGTGACTGACGGTAAGACTGATTGCCAATCGGTGGTAATGTCTGACCGTTTGTGGGCAGGACTGCCGGTTGTGTTCGCATCGGAGGTAAGTATTGATTATTTAAAACATTTGAGTCATTGCTAGCGTTAAAGTGTTTATGTGATGGCATCGGAGGTACAGATGCCGGCAATTGTTGTCTCATTGGGTTCGCGTTTGGCTGACTCGGCGGCGAAGTGTACATCGAATTGACGTACGAATCGGTGGCCAGAGTCGGACCGACTGGACGACCGGTCGGCGCAAACGATTGGCCGATCGGCTGATAGGAGTTGTAATTGTGTTGCGGTTGTGGTTGCGGTGGTTGTGTCGGGTGTGTTGTGGCCATCGCTGGCATCGGTTGGTATCCATTAGGCATCTGATTGTTCACACCATTCATAGCACTATTGAAGCCATTATTTAATTTTGAATTATAATTACTGTTAAACTGATTGTAATTATTATTTGGATTTTGCATTTCTGGGCCCAAAAATGTCTCTCAAAATCAATTGATTCATACAAATGGTGTCAATAATTGTGTTCAACAATACTTTGCACTCAAAAGCATTGATCGAAACGCGAAATGAAATACAAATATATGGATATAAAAGTGTAATTGAATTAAATTAGGGATTAATTGTAGGCATAAGTGATGATGCAGTCAATGGTCAACACTTCATGCATTCAATGCATTCAATACACAACACATCACTCGCTATAACACTAGCGTTACGTTCGCTACTTATGTGCCATAGATTTGCGACTCTTGTCATACACTCGGCGTTAATGGCCTTCAATGCCATCGCAAACGCACTGTCAGTACGCCTTACGCGGCGTTCGCAGCACTCGATCGCCCCCTAAATGCCATCAAAACTGTCGGTCCTATGCTTTTGGTTATCACACGTCAGTGTTGTACGCAATCCACTCAATACAAGTCGACTTCAATACACCATTCAATACAACACTACTATTTGTAAACAAAACCCATGTTTTGATTGACTCGCATTTGAAACTCACTTTCACTTCTCAAGCATTCAATTGAGTCAACAATTGAATCGTGTATTCAATTAACGATCGGATCTGTCGTTCAATTCGTTATTTTATTTGCATTTTATTTATTTTTCAATTCACGACTCAATTGTCATATTTTTATATGCATTTAATGTTACGATTATTTGACTGAAAAAATTAATTGCATAATAGATTTGCATTCAATTTATAGTCAATTGTATTCAATGTTTACACAATTAAAGATGAGAAGTAGTTTTGCGGACACTTTGGCCTCACATATGGTTTAATTGTATTGTAATTAACGGATGAATCGATTGGACAACTGATGGCGAATGGCATTCAAACGGATAGCGATGTCTCATGTCGTCAGTTGTTTCCTCCAAGAGTTGGTCACCGATTGAAGTGAAGTCAAAGACAATGAGATCTGCAATCGTATCGATTTAATCACATTTAAAGACATAAACCAAATATAACACAAATAACAGTAGTATTTGTGACTCAAACCATTGGCACAATTATTGACAGCATATACTCTAACGATTGAATTGGATTTCTATTGAAACAATCGGTGAAAAACTTGTGATAAACTAATTGTCAAACAAATCAGTCATTTAATGGCGTTAACAGCGAGACAGGTGTTGACACTATTGGGCAGTTGTCTCCTTCATCTGATGGTTGGCTCTTGGAATACGTTTGGAAACCTAAACACTTATCTGACATCATATTTACGACAAAACGGCTCAAAAGAGGCCAACTATGGCCAGAGTGTATGGTATACACCGGTCGCTGTGACCGCCTTCACGTCGTTTACCATAATTAGCGGTTTAATTGTCAACAGAATCGGCACAAGAATCACATGTCTGTTGGCTTCACTAATCTATTGGTGAATTTTGAATACAAAAATATGTCTCAATTGAAATGTTAATTGATTTTTTAATTTTGTTGTCAAAACAGTGGTTCAGTAGCGCTGACATCGATTACTGTGAAGAAGTCATTTCTAATGGTTTTGATGAGCTATGGATTTATGCCAAATATGGCCAACGGATTGCTGTACTCATCAGTGATTGTCAATTGCATCAAATGGTTCCCCAATAATAAAGGTCTGGTGACAGGTGTGGTCACTGGTGTAAACGCTTTCAGCCCTTTTATCTTCATTCAATTTCAAACATTTTATTTGAATCCAAATAATGTTAAACCAAATCGTGACGGGTATTATAGAGTATACTGTATGTACCAAATGGTTGTTATAATGATTGTTTGATTGCATAGATATTTTGAAGACACACAAATGTTATCAAAAGTTCCGCAACTATTTATCATATTAAGTGCAATCTATGGTGTGATGGGTTTGATAGGCATTTGCCTAACATTTGACTACAAAGACTCGCATCCAATGCAATTGGTTGAAACCGATGCCAACGATAACCCTATGAGTACATCGATGGTTAATACGGCGATTGTTTCCGAAGACAATGAGGTTCTTGTGGTGACACCGTCTACTTCGCCACACCATTACTCTGTCGGACAAAATCATTATACTATTCGGCGCGCTATAAGAACCCGATTCTTCTGGATGTTATGGTTTACATTCGCATTTAGTACACAATCTTCTTATTTTATTAATGCAATGATCAAAGCTTTTGGCCAAAGCTATATCAATGACGACCACTATTTAGCGGTTGTCCTCTCACTCTCCTATATTATCAATGGAATCGGAGGTGTCTTTTGGGGCAAAGTGTTGGATGTCTTGAAATTCAGAGTAAATGATTTATATTATCTTATATTTGTAAGCATTTTACTAATTATTTATTGTGTTATAATTTAGGATACAATTATAGCGATTAACTCGATTACAGCGATTTGTACTTTTTCGCTCATAATATCGAGTTATGTGTACCAAAAATTACTGTTTGTAATTTGGGATTTTGTCCTCTTCTTCACAATGGTTGGCGTTTTTGCCGCGTATTTGCCAGAAGTCGTCCGTAAGTTTGGCGACAGGAATGCTATCGCTATCTATGGGATCGTACACACAGGCCCTGTAAGTGAATGCCATTTAACTTTTGTATAGATTTATACAGTAATTATACAATTTATTGTTTAGGTATTCGTGAGTTTAGCTCTGAGTCCAGTCCTAGAATTATGTCTTAACAGTTTTGGTTGGTTTCCAACCTTCTGTACTGTCGGCGCGTTTAATACCTTAGGTTTGTGTTTATATTGAATTTTAATTATTGTAACTAATAATCCATTTCTTACATTAGGTATGATTATTATAATGGTTTCGTATTCGCGACTAAAATAATATTTAAAGCGATTATATGCCAAAAGAATTCAATAACCCGTTGATTAACATATATTTTTGCATATTATATACTCTATATTTATATTAAGTTATGTTTTTATGTTATTTTTGTTATATAATTTTATATATTCTTTACTTTATTTAATAGATATTTAACTAAAATATTTGCAAAGAGTTTCTAACGAATTGTAAGCTGTATTTATAAGTATATTAATTATTTTATTTAATAAACTAGTCTTGAAAATGTTTTTTAATTTTTATTGCCGTTCAATATATGGAAAGAATATACAAATGAGATTTATTAGTAAAAATGAATATAAGTATATTTGAGATATTTTAATGTAATCAACAATTAATTGAAAGAATGGTATGAAATATAATTTAGTTTTGAATTATTGACTAAAGAGTGGGATTCGTATTGATTTGACTTCT